GTGTAGATCATTCCTTCTCCTAAAAGTTTATCCTTTCCGGTTAATTTTATCCAATCATGTGACTTTCTATTGTTTGATCTTTTATTCCATATTATTCCTCCATATTATGCGATTACTTCAGTATCTATGGCTACAACGTGGACGAAGCCATTAATGACCAGGATTTAAAAAAAGAACGAACTATGGTAAGTTCGTTTCTTTTTTTAAGTTTTTTTTTTATTTTTACTTAAGGGAACGTAATTAACGTTCCCTTTCTTTTTTTTTAGGAAACCTGGACGAACGAAGTCATTAAGACGTTAATGACCAGGATTTAAAAAAAAAGAACGAACTATGGTAAGTTCGTTTCTTTTTTTTAGGTTTTTTTTATTTTTACTTAAGGGAACGTAATTAACGTTCCCTTTCTTTTATTTTTAGGAAACCTGGACGCGAGACGAAGCTGAACGACCAGGATTTAAAAGAACGAACTATGGTAAGTTCATTTTTTTATTTTTATTTTTATTTTTTTTACTTTAAGGAACGTAATTAACGTTCCCTTTCCTTTTTTTAGTACAAGGACCAGATCCGAACCAGATTCAGATCAGATTCAAATCAGATTCAAATGGATCTGAACCAGATTCGGATCAAATTGAACCAGATCTGATCAGATTCGGATCAGATCAGATCTATTAAAATAAAAATCAGATCGGATCAGATTTAAGCTAAATCTGGTCTGAACCGATCTGTTAGGAGCACTAACCTCGACTAGTTGTTCTGTTCATCGTTTAATGCTTTCATTTCTAGCTGTCCATAGTTACTCATCATGTCTACTTCATCAGCAGAAATTCAATTTGAAACATCACATGATTTCGTAAGGATGAACAACAATTAATACTTTTTGCAATGTGATGAATAACAACTAATACTTTTTTGCAATGTAGGTGTTGAAATTCAAAGTGAAGAAATGAATCAGATTTGTCGTTGCAACACGTGACATGACTAATACTTTTTTGTGATGTGGGCATTAAAATTTGAATGAATCGTTGTAATACGTAATATTGTGCCACAATTTAGTCTTAAAGTAACATCTAGTTAAGTAATTACATTAATTATGTTTGTTACAAGTTACACTGGACACTAAGTAAGTATACTAATCATTAGTATACTTGAGTATACTTACGTATAGATAAATCAAGTAGATCATCACACATAAGAGTTAAAAAATGATTACTTTTTTTTTCTCACATTCTAATATTTTTTTTTTCTCATTCTCACATTCTAATAATCAATTAATTCTCTCTTGTCAGTCATCTTTTTATCAATGGATAATGACAACAACAAAAATAATAATAATAAAACCAGTGGCAAACGCTCTTTAGATTTTAATAATTTAAAATGCCAAAACCTACTACTAGATCTAGTACTAGGTCTTAAAGATGTTAGCCTTAATTATTTTTTAAAAAATTTTGAATTACGGCTATAAGATTTTTATAGCCTTAATTAATTACGGCATATAAAAATTTTGTATTACGACACTTTTTTGAATTACGGCTAACATCTTTACTAGGTCTACTAGATCTACTAGATTGTCAATGAGTAGATCTAGTACTAGGTCTACTAGATCTACTAGATTGTCAATGAGTAGATCTAGTACTAGGTCTACTAGATCTACTAGATCGTCAATGAGTATAAATATCACTGGTCAGAATAGTCCATTTCAGCAAAATTTTAAATTGCCACGAAATTCGGTCTGACATTAGCCGATCAGTACCAAAAAAATCAGCAACTAATTTTATGGACAATTTGCACCGTAATGCCTGCCACTCGCAATTAGAAATTGGCAAAGTTTTGGAATTAGTTAAAAAAATTGGCTGTACATATCAATAAAATTTGAACCTGCCATGCAAATGAAATTCATTATGAATAATCAACTATTCGTTTAAAAATCGATATTGATTTAATTTGCCGATTTGCAAAAATAAATAAAATCGACCATAATAATTTTGACGAAATTTAGCAAATTTAAGTTTTAAAACCAATTTTATTTCGATTGATTTACCAATTATTTTAATTAAATCAATTAAATCACAAAAATTTCCTACAAAAATAGTAAAAATTTCCTACGAAAATAATACTAAAATAATACGAAAATAATACTAAAATAATACGAAAATAATACTAAAATAATACGAAATAATACTAAAATAATAAAAATTTCCTACAAAAATAATATGAAAATAATATGAAAATAAGGCCATGCAAACTTTTAATTTTTTTTTCAAAAATTTTATATGCGAATTTTTTTTTCAATTTTTAAAAAATTCTCACCTGGCATAGTAATAATATAAAATTTTTTTTTTAAGACTTAACAAAACTGACTTAGCCGGACTATGAAAACCATTTTTGCCACTTTGTGTCGCCTAATACTAAAATAATAAAAATTTCCTATGAAAATAATACTAAAATAATACGAAAATAATAAAAATTTCCTATAACAATAATACAAAAATAATATGTAAATAATACGTAAACAATACGAAAATAATAAGAAATAATACTAAATTAATAAAAATTTCTTACGAAAATAAAAAAATTCAATCCACAATTCCACAAAAAATCCCATAATTTTCAAAAAAAATCCAAAAAAAACTGACAAATTTACAATCTAAAATTCGAAAAAAAAAGTTAGTATAATAAAAACTCAAACAAAAATTAAAGTACAAATTTATACCATTTGTCTGTTTCATCTTCTGTTTCTGGCGATTCTTTCACTCCCATTGGTTCCGATTCTTCCACTCCCGTTGGTTCTGATTCTTCCATTCCCATTGGTTCTGAATCTTCTATTACCACTATTTCATCCATCTCTGCCGACATTTCCGCATCTTCCGCCATTATTAGATTCTCCATCATTTGAATTGGCGTCTCCAGCTCAGAAAAGTCAGTATCGGTGGCGTATTCTGCTCCACATAGGTCTAATTTGGAGCACCTCGTAAATGACGAGAGATGATATTATATATCTCATCGTCATAATTTCGCGTTCGTATCAATTGTGCAGATTGAAGAGAGAAAGCGTGTTGGTCCAAGACATTTCGTAATAAATCTATTAACTATTATTAGAAAAAAAATCAATCCTATTACGAAAAAAATAAAACAAATAAAAAATAAAAAATAAAAAATGCGACAAATAAGTTATCGAACCTCTTCAGATCTCCAAGACAGATTATAAACATTGATATGTTTTTTACCGTCTGGTTGCTCTTCATCCGATTCAGCATACTCTGGAGAGTGATATCAGTTGTCACTTAAAACATTCAAAAGTTCTTTTCAATCATAATTCTCCAGTTTTTCGTCATTTTTGTCGAAAAGTGATTTTGCACCTTTAACTTGACGTGTCTTTTCTATATTTAAAGTTTCGATGAATGATGAGATTTTTTTTTTTGAAATAATAAAGAAATTATTTACCTCATTTATCCGATTGTTTCGATGTAGACGGCAATTATCTTTATCTAAAGTGCCACGTTGTTTATATAACAAGCGCACTCTGCGATATTTATGTAAAGCGGAGAGCCAAGACTTGACTTGCCTGTATCGTGGAGTATACCTTGGCTTCATCGCTTCAATTAGTCAAGGTATAACCTGTCAAAGAATTTCATCATTCGACTTACTGGTAAACTTTTCATCGTATTTTAATTCTAGTTTAATCGGAAAAGTTTTTAGAATCGTCTTCATCTCAGCCTAAATTGTACAAAATATTGGTTTAGTAAGCGTTAAAAGCATACATTGAAAGAGGATTTTGGACGAACCCTAACTTCTTCTTCATCTACTTCCATTTCATCTTCAGAATCGTGCACAAGATTTTTTCCTTTCCTATGCTTTGTTAGTCATTGATTCTCTTCAAATTCGATATCTTGAAGGTCAGATAAATATCAGTGATGCAAGCCGTTGTTTTCCTGACTACATCAGGAATTTAAACACGGCATAATGTTCCGTAAGTTTACAGATTTTCATAAAATTACGTACATTTACGGCATAATGTTCCGTAGATTTACGGATTTCCGTAAATCTACGTAATTTTACGATCGAAATATTCCGAAATAATACAGGATCGTAAATGTTCCGAAGCATTATGATCGAAATATTCCGAAATAATACATGATCGTAAATGTTCCGAAGCATTACGGTCAAAATATTCCGTAATAATACGTGATCGCAAATGTTTCGAAACATCTTTACTGAAACTTGGGGTTATTCGGCGACATCGATTCGACATCGAAATTACATCAAAATTACAACACATCGATGTCTTAAAAATATTATAACAAAAATCGAATTGATGACGTTAAGTTAGTTTTTACTGGATCGATGTGATATCGATTCACCATAACATCGCAGGAATATCATTCTGACAATGATATGACATATAATTTGATATTATATCTATATCATATTAATATAAGGCTGATATCAGAATAACATTTGTTAGAATATTTTTCATAAATAAAACATTTAATTGATGTTATAACTGCAACATAGTGATATGAAATTAACATCAAAATAACATTAATAAAATATTGAATTAATATCATAACTGCATCATAATGGTACGGATTAAAGTATTTAATTGATATCATATAATGATCTTAATAACAATATTATAACATTAAAATGATACTAAAATGATATTTTATTGATATAAAAATTTCTTTTATTTATTAAATTTTTTTAAATTACATTCAACTCATCATATCAATTGATTGAATGGATTTGAATATATTTTTTTGAAAAGACATGAAATACATTTACAATTTACTAATGGTAATTCCCGATATAATAATTAAAATTGGACTCGTAAAAGAGGATGACCAACTTTGATTTGATTATTATGGTTAAATAAAAGACATCATGATGTTGGATGTGAAGCAAACGTCATTCATTAGTGCTGTTATTAATTATTACAAATTACAAAATACTTATAATTTTTGTTTCATACCTGCTATATTTTACACGCTAAATAATAACAAGATATGCTCACATGCTTCACCCGATACCTAAAAAAAAAAAGAAAAAGAATAGTTAGAAACTGTCCATAATAATAAACAAAATAAAAAAATAAAAATTCGTACCGAATCTTTAGTTTTTTCCGTTCCTCAGAATCCACCTGAACCTATAAAAAAAAAGGAATGGTTAGTGACCGTTCCATAATATTAAAAAAAAAAATAAAAACTAAACCATTCATTCATTAATAGTTCACAATATATCAGACTATTTTTGATCACCTGATATCGCCTATGTTTAAAATACTGCGGTAAAACACTAAAAACATCACCAGAAGATTAAATGTTGAATCGATTGATCTTTTACCATTCTGTTGTATTTCAATCAAATAAGGTTTAACAATATGATTCATAACATAATTGAAACTTGACAATTTTTAAAGAAACAATAAATACATACTTACGTGTAAAGTTTATTCACAAAGGCGGTCTGTATTTTATGAGCTTCAGCCACAAAGTATTCCTAAGTACGTAAACGCACATAAAAGTGATAAAACATTCTTATAGGTAATTTAATTATTTTGAAAGATGCTACAAAATGTAAAAAAAGGAACGTTATCATTGATTGTCAAACACCAAGTATCAAATGTCTATATATCTGAGCTAGCTAATATTACAAGAGATGGCTACAAAATATGCAAAAAAAAGCGCTCGCCTCAGAATTACTAAAATTAATTTAGAGAAGTCTTCTCTGTTTTATACATTTTCATTTTGAGAGGTCGGCCAGTTAAGATTTCCCGATATCAGTCTTATCAGTCTCTGGCAATCCACTTAACTTGATATTTCAATTATAAATTAAGTCTGACGGTGCTACATAATAATTACAATCATAAGTAAATTCCTGACCTTCAAAATTAAATGTGTTCAGCTGGTTATATATTATATATAATTAATATTGTATTTTTACAGCAGTCACAATAATATAATAATCAATAGCTGACCGTTATGTTTAGTA